GTATCAATAATCATTCTAGAGGGCTTGAATAGGCCAATTAGAGAGCATCACTCTAGAGAAGCGGGTATTATAATTAGAAACTTTGCACCCATGCAAGTTGAAAGATGGGATCAAGTGAGTGATACTGATAAAGAAATACTTTTTAAAAACTTGATGATAAGAACTTTAACAATTATTTTAGTTACTTGTGATATAAAATTCAATTTCATTTAAGAATATCATTTATCTTTATGTTTTACCTTTTGTTACTTTCGACATAGAAGTTTTTATTTTCTATTTTTTCTTGTATGATTATATTTGTAATTTAACACCTGCTCTAATGATAACAAATATACTTTTGAAAAAGTGAATTATTTAAGACCTGGATAAAATTGTGAAGTTATAAAGCTTAACTGGTGTTTTCAATATAGATTTCATGAACACTAAGATTGTTTTTGTGTACGTATATGGACTCTACTCCTAAGAAGAGGAGAATCACCAACTCCCATTAGGTTTTCAAGTGGTACCCCCCTTCCTTGGTGTGTACATTTATCCTACCACTCTAACTCAGCCAGCGATAACCTTTACTGTGGTGGCCTTTTCCTGATAACTATAAACTAAATTTACCTTATTATGACCTTAAAGTAACCCTAAGAAAACCTCCTGGCCAATGATTTTTTATGTTCCTCTGTTTTGAACATGTGATTCCATATCTCTACTTCATTGTCTTTTTCCCTGGATCCATGGTAAGACTCCTTATTCCTTGTTTGCATGTGCTTTGAATCTGTCTTCGTAAGTGTTTCTGCTGGTATGTGGTCTTTTCTTACATATAAGTTAGTGTATGTAACAAGATTTTATTTCTCTACTGCACATATAGCTGTTTCCAACAAACTTAATCAATTTTACAGTGCATTTCATTTATATTTCTTGGCAATAGCCTAGCGTCATTAATGAGGTCCATGGAGCGTGATTTTTAGTGCATGAAGTTAAGTTGTGGCTGTACAAATTTTCTGCTTGTTGAATATTATAGGTTTGGATCAAGATTGGAGAATATGTATATATGAAGGAATTTTCAAATAGTCACAGTGAGGAGTATCTTAAAACTAAGTATGGTTTGTTTTGTTTGTGGTTTTCCTTCAGGAATCTCTTTGACCTGATATATTTGAGGGCATAACCTGCTGCTTGCTTAAACAGTGTAATGCGTATTGTCTCAAAATTGAGTGTGTTTTCTTAAGCTTGAGATTCACCAGAAAATCTCTTGGAGATAATAGAATTTTGATGGCACAATAGCAAATTTGGACAAAATTCTGTGTTGAAAATGAATTTTCCGTATATGTTCATATGAAGTGCAGTCATTTGGATTTTATATGGTTTTCTTTTATCATGCTTGTCGGCTAGTCTTTCAAATCCTATTGACTCCTGTACAAAATTGGATAGGATAAATTTATAGCTTGATATTTCAATAATTATTTGTGAGATTTTCTTATCATACTATTTAATATTTTCTTTTAATTTTGAGTTTGTTGTATTAATTTAATTTATACATGGTGACTGAGTTGAAATGTTTTTGTTTATGTCAGATGCTTTATGTGTTTATGTGCCCTAACATGTCGTATCTTTTGAGGGACTAGCACGAGCAATGGGCGCACCGAAGAAAATTCCTGTTGAAGGTATTTCTAGCTTTATATTGACTTAATTTTGAATGTTTGAAAGCTCTCGTTTGTGAATTGCATTCTTCACCTATGACTAAATTGACATATTTCTTTTTGATTATTTGTTTTGTAATTATTCTCTCAAAGCATTAAGATTTTTTGTTGTCAGTTGCCTAGATCAAATCCTTGCTACAAGTGAACCTCCTAAGCATAATGGCACCGATGAACCAACCATTACTGCAGGTAATATACATAATTGTTTTTAAGCTATCCCTTACTCATTGCAGGGCATTTGATAGTAAAGAAATTTTTGGTACACCTTGGTTTTGATTTGCAGAAACAAAAGCTCTGAAGTGAGCTTGAAGTTGTTCTGCTCGTTTATGATGAATTTTGTGCCGAGCTTAAAAATGATGGGAAGATGTATAGGTTGTAAGGTTTTGTTTGAACTTTGTTCTTCATTCAACTCAAGTTTTAGTTTAGATATAAAATTTTCAGTTTATATTTACAAATTCTGCTAAATGAGGCCACTGAAGAATGTATATATACATTTTTTGGGTATATTACCTTCTATTTTGGTTTAATTTTGTATGCAGAACAAAGAAATAAAGCATGTTGTTGATTTATAAGTGCTTTTGTGTTTCATAGATTGATGTTGTCATTTATTTTTGATATAGTTTATATGTGGGAAAAAATAATAATTTTGTAATTTTATATTTATTTACATAATAGTTAATAAAAGATTTTTATGTTAATTAAATGTTATCATTTTGTAAACATTAACATTTTATGATTAATGATATCTGAGATTATATTTTTTGTATTAATTAATGGATGTATTTGTAAAAGTATATGAATGAATACAATTTTTATTTTCTCCTAACAATTTTTTAACAATGATACTCATGAATAAATATAATTTTTTTGATTCTAAGCTTTTTATTATTATTGCCTCAAGCTAATAAAATTTGTATTATTTCTATATTATGTAATTTATTTAATTAATTGCAATAAAAAGGAGTGATGGATTGATCTTAATTGTTATAGCCAATGCATAATAATTGGATAATAAATTTATTTACTAAATATCACAAATTTTTTTTTTTTTTGGGAAACTTTTGGGCTTAGCCCGTATATTAAACCAAAACTGTAACAATTACAACTTCAAAGCAGAATAAAGGCCATAAAAAACAAACCTTGCAAAACTAAAAAAACTAATTCAGCATGTATACAAAAGTGCTGAATCAAAAAAATAACAGTAACAATTTTCATGATCAGCTCGGGAAAAAGCTCCATTGCCTGAATGCCTGGACTCAGAATAAACAAAATTGAATCGAGTAGGGTCACTTCCCTGGTTGCCCGTAGACCGTCCAAGGGAGCTGCAGAATGGAGCTTCATCATCGTCCAAGCAGGCCAAAATCTGCAGACTAAGCAAAAGTGTACAGTATGATCGCATCAATGCAGGGCGACTGAGCATGAAATCCAACCAGATTAAATCAGTTCCAGCAATATTAATTGATCCTTCCATTGAGATACTTTTTCAATCATCATTCTTTTAATGGCATGAACAATCGTAATGGAGCTTTGAACAGAATTTCCATATCTTCGAGCATTTCTCTCTTTCCATATATAGTAGACAGTACAGCAGGTGAGAAGCTTATAGTAGTTTTTAAGCAGTGAGTGACCTTTGTATTGCTCATGAATCCAAACAAAGAGATGCAGCAAAGTAGGTCGTAGCAACAGATCTTTTGTATCAGGAATAAGAGCATTTAAAACAAAAAAGGAATATGAACATTCGAAAAAAAGATGGGATACGGACTCATCTAACGTATGGCATAAGCTGCACTTCGAAGTGATAAATATCTGTCTAGCCCTCAAAGCATCAGCAGTTTTTAAACCTCCCAGAATTGCCATCCACACAAAAACGTTATGTTTCAAGCTGTATCGTTTGTGCCAAACAAATTTATGCCAAGAGCTAATTGGTATATCAGCATAAAACTCATCAGTATAACATTTATGTTTATAAACCTTCTTGTTCTTCCAGAGTAAACAAGGTTCATCATCTTGATGATCATTAGCAAAAAGGTTTCTCAAATGCATAGGAATAAAGTTAGGGATATCCCATTGTGAATTAATATAAAAATCCTTCAACAGAATGTTAGGAATGGAATCGGCATCCCTCAAGTAAGTCCCAAGAGTGACATTATTGCACCAATGATCCCATTTCAAAGAAATTGAAGCCTTGCTAGTGATGTTGAAATTAAAACAGTTTTTGGCTTGTGAAGCAGTTCGACAAACCGATTTTCAAAATTTGGACGCATTGCAGGGAGGAGGGCGCCATGGCGACATGTATTTATTTATCAACCAACTAGATAGAGGAGTGATACAGTTGTACATACGAAAAATAACCGAACAGTTATTAGCAAACTGAAGTGCATTAACTGTAGGT